AAGTAGAACAATAGCTCTTAAGATAAAGAACTAGTAGCGTCTCATAGAACGAGCGGACGGACAGCTGGACGGATGGACGGACAAAGTGGCCACATAGCGCATTTTTATTTTATTTTTCTGGAAATGCGCTAAAAAATACAAAGTAAAGATTGTCGTTTTGCTCCATAACAATGACGTTCATTGTTGTAGCTGCACGGCGATATCTTGATTTCAATACCATTTCATTGTTGATCGATAGTAACGACAAAAGTTGGTCGGCCATTAATAAACGGCGGCTTCTAGGCGATTCGACGGATTCTCAACGATGATTCGACGGGTAGGGGCTCTACGCGACGAGTGCAATGCAAATTTCGCTTCTGCGGCACATGCGCGGCACACGTACAAGTATGAATATATACAGGCACGGGAGAAATGGTTATGTACAGGGTATTTTCATTAAAGAAAAAATGAAAGGATATTGTATTATAGTTTGGGGACGCAACAAGGTATTTATAATTAAATCAAAAATTAATGCTTTTGGTATGTCTATTATACCAACAAGGAATAGGGTCTCGCGTTTTAAAGCCCTTAAAATTGAATAAATCTCGTATTGATTGGTAGCATACAACAGGAGTAAAACAAGGCGAGAAATTGACCAATCATAGGTATGCAAAGTGACTCCAAAATATTCGCCAGATCTCTGACAACGCAATTCAAACTTTTGTATGTTGCCCGCTAATGGATGCAGCTGACCACGTCGAATTTTTTAGATGTTATCTATTTTTGTTAAGATGTAGGTCTTCTTGATATCATCAAATCGATATTGGCCAGCCATTTTGGTTATCAGAACCCGTTCTAAGAATTTTTCTTTTAGATGTAGGTAGATTGTCAACGTAACGTAATAATCTGAAATGCTTTTGTACGATTAAATTGTTAGTTATTATTTTCACCAATATTTCTTATGTGCTGATATAAGATACGTTCGTAAAATTTGCAAATTTTAGTAGAAAAAGTAGAGCGTTTATTCATTTAGCACAAATTGGTATGTTCAGTAAAATAGGGATACGGAAACAATTCTACAATCGAAAAATAACAATCTAATTTACTGAGGGCTAGTTTATCACCTACTTATTACCTATCAATTTCGCAGAATTGAAAAGATTATCAGATGAAGATTACAAAAAAGGTTATATAAAAGTGATCAATAAATCTCTCTTTGCTAACCGAGATTCTCAACTTAATATTCGCTTGGGACGGATAGACTTGTAAAACTTGCGAACTTTTCGGGATTTTTCATTTACACGACCTAGATTTTCTTACATTTTCCCTAAATTATAACATCGCTTTGCAAAACAGAAGCATGTTGACTTCTTACGGTGACAAAGTATCGCATACATACTACGATTGGTTAAAGGGGGGTTGGACTCTAAATACGGATTGTAATGAATTAATGATGCCCGTTTGCGTCACTCGATTTAGATACATTTATATTTATGAACTAGGAGTCCTACTGCATGCATAGTTTCATAGCTTCCTTGAACATATTTTATCTCAGAGATGGATTCCCGAACATGGTTCGAAAGCTTTTTTTTACTGCCCTTGTTCATTATGTTAACACATGTACATACTTCCAATTTTCGATGATTACATCACGTTTCTCCAATTTTCGGCTTAAAGGAAGATTTTACGAGACAATTTGTGCGAATACATCCAAATCTGCCCTTCAGACTAAAAGTATATATAGTAGATATATGTGCATAGGTATCAACTCCCAAATGACTATGAATGTTAAGTAAGAGTAAATTAACTTTCTGAAAGAACAAGTAGGTATATAAATACTCCTTTAAATACCTAGTTAGTATTCGCCCAACTTAACTCTAACAAAAAGAAAATAGCTATATATATATGGAATTGTTACCACTGTTTCTCAGTAGCTCTACCACTTTGACCGTCCGCCTGGACCCATTATGTACAATCTTGAAGTTCTTTCGGAGCAGCACAACATAACATCGCCATTTAGAATCGGCCATCTTGAAGTTGGTGTTTATTGACATTGGCTTTGCCGACGAGAAAACGTAATTTAACGGTATTTATTAGTAACATTATTACTGGTGTATCACACGCTTTCAATTTGGTAATATGAGGTTTTACATACAATGAAAGTTAATTCAGAAAAGAGATAGGTATCTTTTGAAATTCGAGGGTAAAGCAGCTGTGAATTTAAACATCTCCAATTATTTTACGCTCAATATATTCTCATGTACTTACCTCATTTGCATAAACTTTTGTCCACCATTGAGAATATATTTTTTTATTTTCCGCGACATAGCTGCCTTATTCGAACGTTTCCTTCTCGTTGTTTATTAAAATTCCTCTACCTACTGAAAACAAGAAGCAAAAGTCTAATAGGCTGGAAAACGTATTTATGAAATTGCGTGCCCTTTTCTTGCCAATAGTATAAAAAAAATTTCGAATCCAACCTGAAAAATCATAAGATCAAACGAACTTACCCAAGTGATGTTCGATCTTGATTATATGAAGACCTCGTCGAAGTAAATAAGCACAATGTAGTACCTTCATTCCTGTGGGATACGTCACAATTTTAAAGCTCGCGTTTCTCTCCATGCTCCGCCCCGCACTGTATACCATGTAAGCTTCAGTTTCTTTAAAGTCGCTTGTCGCAACCCAACCGGGGCAAATTCCAGAGGGTGTGGTGGGACCTTATTTACTTCGACGAGGTCTTCATATAATCAAGATCGAACATCACTTGGGTAAGTTCGTTTGATCTTATGATTATATTCGGCCTCGTCTCGTAAATAAGCACAATGTAGATGTTTAAAGACGTTGCGACAACCATGAACGTTTATTTACATAACGTTTACATATGTCTTAATTCTAAGGAATCGAAAGCAGATACTATCCTTAATCTCCTAACACTGTTTCAGCGAAAGATTTGTCCGAACATATAGGTCTATTGTACACCGTAGCAAACATATTGGAATTCTGGGACCAACCCGCCGATAACCGAATAGTATCAAGTTAAGCCCTTTCCTACTAGCAGCAGATGTTGCTGCATGTCTGGTACTATAGGCAGAAAATTTTGTAACGTCCACGCCACTTTTTTGCAAAATAATCTTAATCCATCTGCTAAGGGTTTGTGCAGTTGCCTTGTGGAACGGCTTTTTTGTTGATAAAATCAAAAACCTAACTGATCCCCTCCTAACTTCTGTTTTATTTATATATAGTAAAACGGTTCGAGCTACACAAATCTCCGGATCCAAATCTAAAAAAGGCAATCTTAATACCGGTTGTAATCTATTTCTGCCTGATGTTTTAATCCGACTCGGTATCGTGATAGTTAAGCCTTTGGTGTCCCTATAAATATTTGAAATTTCTATTAACGTTAAGGTTTGTAACCTTTGACCCGTTGCCAGCGCTAGCAAGGCTGTAAGTTTGTGCGTTAATGTATCAATACTTATTTCCGAATTTTTAAGTCCCCTTAAATAATCTAGGACGACTGCCGGATCCCAAATATTGTCGTACTTAGGTTTAGTCGGTCTAAGCATAAAAACACCCTTAAAGAACTTTTTTAACCTATAATCTTGACTCACTTGGGGTCCCCCTAATTGAGCAATTGCCGATCTATAAGTATTGAGCGAACCAAAAGAGGCACCTATATTAAATTGTTCGGTTAAGAATTCCAAAACGTTTGTTACTAAAACAACGAGGGGGTTAATACCTTTTCGCTGACAGAACTCGCACCAGCGTTTCAACCCCCCTCTATATTGTTTTACCGTTCCTTCTGATATCGATGCTACGCATATGTCCAGGCTCTCTTCTGGCACGTTGCTGCGACGTAGCGCTTCCCGTATAATTTCGCGCTCATTAACGACAAACTTCCTGCTAGCGGATGTCGGGTTCTGCCAACAGAAAGTAAACTATCGTCAGGTGTCAATATTAGGGGTTCGCCTACTATCAAGGAAAGATAAACGGGGTACCATGGTTGGGTCGGCCAAACAGGGACCACCATAATGCAAACAGTACTATCCCGAATAATTTTTTCCAGAGTCTTTAGAATCAACGAAAATGGGGGGAATGCATAATAAAGGAAACCTTCCCATTTGAATGTAAAGGCATCCACCGCCATAGCACCCGGGTCTCTGAACCACGATACATAATTTTTACACTTGTTATTCAATCGACTGGCAAACAGATCGATTTGTGGTGCCCCGTGCTTTTTTATTAACCTGGAGAAGGCAGAGTCGGAGAGACTCCATTCAGTCTCGACGCTTAACCCTCTCGACTCTGCGTCAGCTTCCACGTTATCCTCGGACTTGATATACGAAGCGAACAAGAATAAGCCTCGCTTTTCACACCACTGCCAAATATTCCGTGTCAAACAATTTAATTTTGGAAATCTTACACTTCCCATCCGATTTATATATGATAACGCCGTGGTGTTATCTACTCTACATAGAATTGCACAATTTCGAAGTTTTGCCGCAAAACATTTAAGCGCAAAGAAAACAGCTAGCAACTCTAAAAGGTTTATATGATTTCTTTTTTCAGACTCTGACCAAAGGCCCCTAGCCCTAATTCCTCCACAGTAAGCTCCCCACCCCGTGGAAGACGCATCTGAAAAAACTTCTAGAGAATAATTTCTTCCCCCAATCTCATTCTCACTCTGAACTAAATTCATTTTCCACCAACGAATTTCCCCTTTTAATTTTTTCGGAATTTGCATAATTCCTCTATACGAACCTCCGTTCGCTTCGAGGGCCTTATATTTTTCCCTTTCCAACATCTTTGTATACAACATTCCATACTTAACTGCACGACAAGTGGCCACTAATTTGCCCGTAATCCTGCAATAGTATATTTCATTACCAGTCCAGAAAGGAAGATTTTCCCGTGGGCGCATGACGTTTCCCGTGTGAGGCGAAGCCGAACACGGGAAGTCATGCAAACACGGGAAAAGCCTTTCTATGTTTCGCATTTATAATGTCGTTGTTCTGATTCGGATTATGATGATAGAATGAACTTCATTCTAGCACGATTTTTGGTAACTTTTCCATTCTAACACGATTTTTGGAGGCTTGTTTTGTTTAGGAATTGGTATCCCTGTTATGTGTGACAGCCAACAAAACGTCAGCACAAGAGTACGCTTTATACTTTGTATGCTCGTGTTCTGTGGTAAAGTTAAAGGTGGTTACTTTTTTTCACACTAATATCAATGTTTATTCATTAAACAAAGCTCATATAAAAGGAAAAATGCACACGCATTACGATTTATTATTAAATTACACCAATAAAGTCATTAAACAAGTTTGCATAAACGATTTCTTAAAAATGTGCTAAAATGAAATTATCTAACCTCAACCTAACTTTCGTTCTTAAAAGAACAATTGTTATAAATTTTAACAGTCACCGTGGAATGTTCACCTGCATTTATAGTAATTCCGGGGACATTTTGTAACGAGTTAACAGTGGTGGATTCGAGGGTGGATTGTTCTCCGCTAGTAACAGTACATGGTTTCGTGGAGGGTCCAGCTTGTTTGGATTGAGTAGTCGAAACCGAAAGTAACTCTGCGACTTCAATTCTTTTTTTTTTAGATTGATCAACGTAACCCTCTGCTGTTGAGGAACTTTTCCACCCACCATGTTGCTTCAGTGTCATTATATCTGCACCATTGTTCGCCAAGTGTGATGCTGATGATCGGCGAAAGCAATGCCCGGAATATTCATCGCAGTTCCGCAACTTGAGATATCTTGCAATAATTCGGGGCATCTCGCCTATTTTGTTCAAACCAATTGGTTGCACCGTGCAACGTCCTTGTCGATAAAATATGAAAAACCGTTTGTGGGTTATATGTACAGGTCTTAAGCAAGCATACTCCTTGATTAAGCCTATCCACATTGCATTTGTAATTGCAAATAGCCTTGGACGTTTAGTTTTGGTTTTTGGTACCGTCACAAAAATTGAATCGGACTTGTAGTCTATATCATCCGTAAGCAAATTTTTTAGTTCCTCCCGCCTGCATGCTCCGGAATAACCAATTATTAGAATTACCTATAAATGTATCAGTGTGTAATTGTTGATTGAAAATTAATAAAATTACCTTCGCTGCCAAATACTCTGTGTTGGGTGCTTCATTAATGAATCTTTCTATTTCAGGATATTCTAATATTTTAGACTTCTTTGCCTCATATCCAACTGATGTTCGTCTTAATAATGCCTGCAGTTTCATAAATTTAGAAATATCAATATTCTCTCGAACATTCAACATAGATCGGAGCATCGAGTAATTCTTCCACAACGTAGAACTTTTGTAGCTCTTGCTCATTATTGTAAAGAATGCTAACAAAACATTTTCACTTATCACTGTCACGTTTTGTGCGCCACACCAATCTTTAAATTTTAGGTGTCGAGTTCATAAGAATAAGAATGTATGAATGATTGTATTTGAAAAGAAAGAGGTGGCTGTTAGTAGTAGTATGAAATGTATGTAATTTTGAAGGATAATAAAAGTCATATTTAGAAAAGTAAAATCTGTTCTAAACGCAACATGAGGGAAATTAATTTATCGAATGAGATAAACGTCCCAAGGTATTTTGGAGGAAAGGAAGTAAGTATGCATGTGTTTAGTGATGCTAGTCTAAGAGGAATGGCCACATGCATTTTTGCCCGTTTTGTCAAAAATGAATTGATTTATTTACGATTAGTAGCAGCCAAAGCGCGAGTCACACCTATAGAAGAAATGACAATCCCTAGAAAAGAACTTGTTGCTGCACTGATCTCCAGTAGGTTGGGGTCTGTTGTTAAGAAAAGCACAGAAATAGAAGATTTCACGTACTGGACGGACGCGATGATAACTCTTTATTGGATTAAAAAAGGTGAATGGAAATCATTCGTTGGAAATAGAGTCAAAGAGATCAGAGAACTTACTCAAGCTGAACAATGGAGATTTGTACCTGGAGATAAGAATCCAGCTGACATTGTGAGCAGAGGGTGTTTCCTTAGTGAGTATTTACAAATGAAATGGTGGGAAGGACCTGACTGGTTGAGAGAAAATCCTGAATTGTGGCCTAAAACGGAAATCGTACCCACTCAAATAGAAGCTGCAGCTGTGCCTACGTGTATATGTAGTATTGATGATGGTAGCCAAGCTAATCCACAAATATTTATCAGAAGTCATAAATTTGGAAAAAATCTCCGAATTTTAGCGTACACCCTACGATTTATTGAAAAATTACGAAAGAAATCTTCTATAGGTGGACTTAAATTAAATGAAGAAGAGATTGTTGCAGCCGAAAAAAGGATAATGATTGTATGGCAAAGAGCATGTTATACCGATTTAAAGCGTCATGAAACCTTTATAGATTATGATGGATTATTGCGAGTTAGGACAAAAATACTTTCTAATGAATTTACACCAGCATTTAAAGAACCAATATTGTTATCAAAATGTGAGATGGTAGAAGACATGATTCAGGAGTGCCATGAGAAACTGCATCACGCTGGAGCAAGCACAGTCATCAGTCATCTGAGGGAAAAATATTGGATTTTGAAAGGAAGATCATTAGCTAGGAAGGTAATCCGTCGTTGTGTTAGATGTCGCAGATTCAGAGGCCGACCTATGGAAGTACCTCCCGTTGGACTGCCACACAATCGCACTAATTTGGGAAAAGTCTTCCAAGTTTCGGGTTGTGATCTAGCTGGACCGTTATTTGTAAAGAGTAACTCCAAGGTTTGGATTGTCATATTTACCTGCGCCGTGTATAGAGCGGTTCATCTAGAAATTGTAGATTCTTTGTCTACAGAGGCATTTGAAATGGCTCTCCGACGTTTCATAGCAAGAAGAGGGAGGATAGAAATCATGTATAGTGATAATGGGTCTAATTTTAATGGATTATGGAATTTAATTGAAAAAACAAGAATAGAAAGTCGAATGAAAATTAAATGGGTTTTCAATCCACCAACTGCGCCTTGGTGGGGCGGGTTTTGGGAGCGTCTGATAGGAATAATGAAAAACCTGTTAAAATCGACATTAGGTCGAGCTCTTTTGAATGAAACTGAATTAAACACAGTTTTGACAGAAATTGAAGCTGTGATAAATGCTCGTCCGATCACGCATATGTCGGAAGATCCGTACGAATTGAAAGCAATCACACCTTCTATGTTTCTACAAGAGGAAACCGTTATAGAAACTCCAGATCTTGACGCTGTCGATGAGAATAGCTTAACTAATAGAATTCGTTATGTAAATGAAGTACGTACCCATCTAAAGGAAAGGTTTAGGAAAGAATATTTGGGTAATTTATTATTAAGCAAAGGTAAACAGACTGATAATATTAGGGTCGGGGATCTTGTGTTCGTGTTTTCAGATTTGAAAAAACGAATCCATTGGAATCTTGGGCGTGTGATTGAAGTGTATCCTGGAAAGGATGGAGTTGTTAGAGTAGTAAAATTGAAAACAGAGACTAGTGAATTATTGCGACCCGTACAGAAGTTGTGTTTGTTAGAAATTGAACGGTCTAATAATTCGTATTGTAGTTTTAAACCTAACGATAATCATATTGACCTTGACTTTAATAAACCGTTTTTAGATGAAAACATTTCGAGTGAAATTGAACCGACAATATCTACACATGAAGAGACGGTCACACGTAGCGGAAGGGTTGTGAAACGACGTGAAGTTTTAGATTTGTAAATCAGAAACATTTTAGTTAAATTGTTATCACACTTAGTTATAACTTTTAGGATTAGATTGATTATTTGATAAGTGTTAGTGTTATATTTTGAAATGTAGGATACAACATTTCAAGGGCCGGAGAATGTCGAGTTCATAAGAATAAGAATGTATGAATGATTGTATTTGAAAAGAAAGAGGTGGCTGTTAGTAGTAGTATGAAATGTATGTAATTTTGAAGGATAATAAAAGTCATATTTAGAAAAGTAAAATCTGTTCTAAACGCAACATTAGGTATTCTTTTTCATACTCTCCTTTTGATTTTGTCGGTAACAGATTATCGACCGCTTCTTCGGCTATTAAGTGTAGTTCTGGCGGAGTAGATGAAAAGGTTGTCTCAGACATTGCAAATTTTACCTTCGTGTATCTATTTTCAGGCGCAATAACGAAAAATGTTAAAATTTAGAGAGACTAATTTAAACATTTGAAAGATGTACGCAGTGCTGCCAACTTTATTTTGACGCGGCAATATTTCTATTTTAAACTAAATACATACTTTTTTATAAATAATAATTAAGGGCTCAACATAGAAAATAGTATAAAACGTTCGTCACAGAAGGCCTTCTATCACTCGTTCATTCGAACCTTCGTCGCTACGTGGCTCAGGTTCGAAACTTGAATTCGTGCTAGAATAGGCCGCCTTCTGCAACTTATGTTTTAATATACTATTCTGGACGTGTAATGAACGATATTTTTCATTATATCTCTCCGAAAATAACGGAGAATGATTATTTACATTGAAGTCCACATCCAATTTGACAACAAATTCTGTTGCTTGTCTTATCACCCTTAAACCCCCGATTATCTTCAACACATCATCAATAGTCGAGCGAATTGTATCGTCTCCTCTGCATCTTGCTCCAAATTTCCGAATACTAAAATAACCTTAGTAAGTAATAACCATTTTATCTCTGCAGCTTCATTCAAAAATTGCTCCCTTGTTGTACAGAACTTTTGATTTTTTTGGGATGTAGCGGAGGGTCTGACGCTTCAAAAAGTCGATGGTTTTGCACAATTTGCTGGCGTTTTCATTTTCTTTTACCGTAAGAATATTCTTAATCATTGAAAACCTACTCCAAAACGTACTCTTTCCCCGATTTTTTCAACGCACCAGTTATGAAATTTTTCATATTTCTTTTCGCATCTCTCTTTTGATTTCGCTGGTAATAGTTGGGAACTGGTTTCTGCAGCTTCTCTTAATATATTAGCGGGAATTTCGACTTCACCAAAATCCATTTTTAACACAATGGAAAAAATCGGTTGAGATATATGTCAAAATAAAGCCGCGGTATGCATGGCAACGCATGGGATAGGGATGCTATGGCAAACTTGATTATTCGTAGCGCACGGGAAAAAGTTTTCCAGTGCGCTCGCACGGGAAAACCCTACTTTCGGTGCGCTTGGGATACATGAAAAGACAGTACTTTCGGAGAGGTATAATGAAAAATGATTTTATGGAACAGACTCTAGTATTTTCCATTTTTGACAATTCGGCTAATAATTTAACTAATTTTTCCTTTGGCAAGGACACCGTCATATTTATGGAATCGTAAACAAAGCCTAAGTAGGTGCACGTGTTACTAGGAACTAAAATACTTTTCTTACTGTTAATAACAAACCCTAATCGTTGTAAAATATATACGGTTTGACGTACGTTTGACAAACAATCGGTATATGAATTGCCAAGCAACAAAAAATCGTCTAAATATATGACCGAGACGTGACCCTGTGCTCGTAAGTATGCTACCACAGACAAAATTGTCTGTGATGCTACTACGGGTTTCATGACCTTCGTGAACAACATAGGCGCGCAATTCAACCCGAAAGATAAGCAGTTATATTCGTACAATATTCCACTAAAAGTGAAACGTAAGTACTTCCTGTCACTCTTATGAATGGGAATTAAATGATACGCGTCTTGCAAATCTAATTTAGCTAAAAAGTGTTAAACGAAATCCTTTCAACCACGATAATAACACTTTATCATTTGTTAACTCTTTCCAGAAAGTTATGAAATGTCTTAATCGTCCTGCGGTTCTTCTTACCTCTAAAAGCGATGGTATTTCGTCTCCTTGTACAGATGGTGCCGATGTCCCTGAGGATCTCGATTCATCAGATTCATGCTGTTGCTGCTGGTGGGGACTTGCCGATGTCGTCCACCCTGCCCCTTCGCCTGACGATTTTGGGGTGGACCTTTGAAGTTTAACGCCGGTTTGTGAATTACTTTTTTAGGGAATGTCTTTACGGATTTCAGCTGGTTGGAAGAAATTTTCAAATTCTTTGCCGATTTTAAGTTTTCTTCCAAATTCTCGCCAAATAACCAAGAATCTATCGCGGTTTCAGCTACTGTATCCTTCCAATCCCTATTCAAATTCAAGGAAATTAATTCCTTTCGGGAACACTTTCTCGATGATGCACATCCGCGAGTAAGCGTCCCGCATCACTTAATTGTTCGATGAGTGGCTTAAACTCATCCCCTTCCTTGTTGATTAACTGTGTAAGCGCTAAACCCGAGGCTAAACCTATAGCTGCTAAACCAGAGCTTATCTGCGTTTGTAATTTTGCAAGGCGAAAATCTCGTTTCTCCACCGAATCCGTCACGGCGTGTTTTACTACCAGATTCAGCTTCGGTGCGTCCCAAAACCCCGCGTTTTCGGGAGAAGGGTATTTCTGAATTAATTCGACACATTTGTCCTCAGACAGCCCCCGCTTAAAAATATTAATCCATCTTTCAGTAACTTCTTGCTGAATAGGTGGACCTTTAACACTATCGGATTGCGAATCATTTCCGAGTATAGATAGCACATCCTGGTTCAAGGTTGATGGTGGCGCCGGTACTTCCTCTACGTCGTCGCCTTCCACTACACAGAAAAAAAAAAAAGGTGGATAATAAGACCCGTTCATCACAATCTGGGACTAAAACGTCCCATGATTCAATTACTGTTATCACAAGCAGTATAGCGTGATTCCGCTCAAGATTGTCATCACCAACAACCTGGTGCTATCCCAAGCAACCGTTGAGGTCGGGGAACATGACTATTATCACAAATAGTCGGCCGCTATCACAAGCAGCCCACAACCAGCCCAAACGGTAACGGCGGTTTTAAGGAACGTAAGTCGATCAGAAACAACCTGTTGCTATTACCAGCAACCGGCGAGATCGACGAGCATGACTATTATCACAAATAGTCGGCCGCTATCACAAGCAGCCCTACGAGCGGTGAGTGAGAAATCACTTAACGCTACAAGATAGCCCCCTTGGATATAGTTACCTTGATTTAAGTCATCTTCGGAGAAAGCACTGCGTGCACTCGCATCGGAATCCGAGTCTAATGTAACGCGTTTTTGGGGTGTTGGAAAATCCCCAGAACTGGAATCGGAAGAGGGCAACCGCTTTCTTTTCTTAAAGCTTTTGCGTTCGAAAGCATCCATCCGACGCTCTAGCCTACGCAGAAGAGTAAGTGTTTCGTCCTTATACTTTCCGGGCGACCGCGAACGCTTAGAATGTTTCGATGTCGACATAATAACAATCGCGACGTAACCGTACCACACAAAAAAGAAGACTGAAGCTTACATGGTATACAGTGCGGGGCGGAGCATGGAGAGAAACGCGAGCTTTAAAATTGTGACGTATCCCACAGGAATGAAGGTACTACATTGTGCTTATTTACGAGACGAGGTCGAATATAATCTATCTTAATTTGAACATTCACAATAATTTCTCCCAAGGTCTTACGTGCAAACGATTGTAACGAGAGCAGTTATTTTACGTAAATTGTTTACGATCTTTTTCATTGAAATATGCGGAAGGTATCGAGTTAGTAGTTTGATTCCCTCCGAGGCTCTGCTGTAGAACTGCAATAAAATTCTCGTCATGAATTGATTTATTGGAAAGCGTAAGCGGGTACGAAAGATCACCTTTGAAACTCGATCAGGGTAAACGCATGTTTTGAGTTCCATAAGATACCACCAAACCCTACCCCCACCTAACCCTTAAAAAAACCCTCAAAGGGTTGAAAATGCCTATTGTTGTTTTTTGGGAATACGTATCTTGAAATCAAAGCTATTTAGGGAAAAATATGAAGATAGAAAAATTTAAGCATATTTTCCTATAAAACCTATACCTATATATTTTCCTGTACCAGTGGCGGAGTTATGATATTAATTTTGGTTATTTTTAAAAAGACTAATGTTTTAATTTCTGATTGAAATAAAGACAAATTTTTCAAAAATATTTAGTTCATTAAGTCACTATGCCAAACAAAATTTATATATATGTTGCGGCCAGGAAATTGAAAACCAAATAAAGTCATGGATATTTAAAAATGTCAACATAAATTAGGACCTCTAAAAATGTTATTTTTGCCATGCACGTCATTTCTGAATGCGATACCACATCTGGGCTTTTCAACAAATAGGAAATATTATTTTGTCTATACCTACTGTAGACAAGGAAGAAATATAACAAATGACAGATTACGGACCTTGACGTTCTCTACCAACAATATGTAGTACAGCAAAATTTAAATAAGGATTTTAATTTAGCATAGCTTCCACCGGCTCTAAAGGCAGCTCAGTACCAATTACCATGTGTTTAGGACTTTTTAACAAGTATTTTCTTTGAAAAGATTAATTATGTTATTAAGAAGTTCCTAGCGAGTTCAGAATTTTGGACTTTTTGTCCGTCCGTCCGTCCGTATGTGGACAAGATAACTCCCGAACGGTTTCGAATCGCTTCAATTCATCTGTAGTTTCATTATACCTTCTTTACAAAGGCCTCAAAGCTGGAAAGTAATACTGACCCGGATGATTTCCATTTTTAGTTTCAAACATAGCTGAATAATAACTTACCAGTGCAGAAGTGGATCAAGACATACATGGACCTCGAAAGGGTTCTAAAGAAAATTTTTTCCAACTGTTCGTCAGGCGGTTGCAAAAAAGCTTGCTCGTGGCGAAAAATTGGTCTAAAGTGTACCCTAGCTTGTAGAATTGTAGACAGTTATAGAGTCTGACGAATTAATATATAGAAATATCCTCGGAAATATCTAATTAGGTACCTAATTAAAAACTTATGCTATGTTAAGTATTCATTTGCCTAAACGGGTCGTATTTTAGTTTCACTACCTCATAATAAGTTACCCTACTGCACTGCATAGATACCTACTGACTACAATATATTACAATATATTATCGTTTTAATGCATTAAAAAAGGGATGACATAAAAAAATTAGTACTGCCACTGTTATGATTTTTTATTTCATTAGAATAGGCACGAAATGAATGTTCTTACCTAAATATTTTTGAGAAATTTCTCTAGATTTCACAAAAAAAAATAAAAAATTAGATTTATTTTTTAAAATAAAATTAACATTATGACTTCGGCACTGGTACAGCACCAAACCTACGCTTTCATTTGTCTATCTTCACATTCTTTTGTAAATAGCGTTGTTTTCAAGATATTGACAAAAAACTTAAAAAAATCCCTTTCAAAGGTAGTATGGAGGTGACAGACACGGCGGATCACTTATAGGGTTTGGTGGTATTTTAACGACTCCAAAATCAACTTATTTACCAAATTTCAGCTTGTCACTAATTTTTTCACGGTTAGACTGGGTCGACCCTGACGATTTGGTGTAATCGGGGTTGGAAAGTTTCCACAATTTTTAACATAAAAAAAGGGATTGTATGACATAAATTCCCACATCAAATTTAAAGACAATTCATTTCTCTACAAAATGGTATTTTTACCTCGAGCTAAAGTGCAACTATCAGTGTTCGAAGCATTGTGTTGTGAATTTTCAATCGTTTTTAATTAATTTACAATATTAGCAGTCATTTTCGGAGATCCATTTTTTGGTAAGTAGGTATATTAATCAGCAGAATATCTACTTCTACTCAGTTATTTTTTGATTGACAGAAATTTTATATGAAGGTTTCTAGGGGGACAGAATAGATTGACTGGACTAGTATACAATATCGTCAATCGCAGTAATTATATAAAGAATTAAGAAATAACGAAAATATACCAGCGCACGCCTATGACTGCTCACATCCCCAGCATGTATTGCCGAAGTAGGTACCATCCCCATACATTGGATGCTGAACATTTTTAATTTCTCACTTCAAATACCTATATGTTTGGTGGAAAATATTTGTTATCCGCTACGGCGCTACTTCTATGTAAAAATAATTATACTCTTTCGTAGGCCGGGTGGTTTATTACTCCTAGGTCTGGGACATACTATAAATAAATTTGAATGTTGTACGAAATGTAGCAAAAAAATTGCAAACATTCTGACGGAAAGACCAACCTTAATTACATACCTACAGGGTGATTCCTATAGTACCTGCCACCGTTTGGGAGCGTGTAGGTGGTGCGTAGGGGAGTATTTTGATATAGGACACTTGGGGTCGGGAATCTAAAATAAGGGTGCCAGAGCCAAATTTACCTTCTGGAATTTCGCGCCTGTAGGTAGGCAACCCAACCGGCCGGCGGTGCACACGGAGCGATCTCAGGCGGCGATGTGTGGCTGACACTTGATCAGAATTTTGTTTAAACCCACGAAATCCCGTCTGCAACGACGCGTATCAAGTGAATAAACACTATGGCAATAGTATAATAATAGTTGGCTAGATGTAGGAAGTGCATTGAGAACAACGGTGGCCACGTTGAACACTTGTAAACGTTATTGCTTTTGACTGTCGTTTTCCCTCCTTCCCTCCCATGTCGCTTCCTCGCGCTAACTCGCTCTGCATCGCTCCGCGCGAAACGTCGGTCGGTTGGGTTGCCTACATACAGGCGTGAAATTCCAGAAGATAAATTTGGTTCTGGCGCCCTTATTTTAGATTTCCGACCCCAAGTGTCCTATATCAAAATACTCCCCTAGGCACCCCCTATACGCTCCCAAACGGTGGCAGGTACTATAGGAATCACCCTGTAT